AAGAAATATTAGAAATCATTTCTGATGACCTGAGAACTAGAGGAAGACTCAAACGAAATATGATAACCAGAGATGTCAGCTCTTGTAACTCTGCCAATCTTGTGATACTTAGCATTTTTCTTAGTATGCCAGCTCTTAAACTGTTTAGGAATCTCAGCTTGCACAAAAAAAATACACTTTTATGATTGTTGTGAGCAGACATAGGAAATATAAATCATGAAGAGCCTATAATCAAAGAAGATACCCAAGTCACTATTTCATAAAGAACTCAAGATCAAGGCCTGACCTGTCTTCTGAACAGCTGAATATATTCAGAGTAGAGCCCTGACTATATAGTTTTAATCTTTGCCCTTATAAACGTGGTTGTACAGAAACAAATACTTTTATAAGCCTAAAACTGCGTTAAGCAAAATGCATCCATTTTTCATTATCAATAAGTGGACCATTCAAACAACTGATAATTTACAGATATTTTCCTGTCGGAAGAGAAATAAGCAAATAGGAGTGACAATCCTAAACTGATTTTGTGATAGTACAATGTGCCACAGCAAAAAGTACTATCTGAAAACATCTTGCCCCTTGCTATTGATAGCTTAGCTCAGAAAGCTAAGACTGGTAAGCACCTTTAGTAATACTATTGCTCAGTCCTGAATAAAAATATACATATTACAGCAGTCCATAACTATGAAACACAATCGTATAAAACTCAGGTGTTCTCCTGTAATTGGCAGATGCATTAGCAATAAAATAAATCACTTTGCCTACACTGAGTACAAGCAAGCCAACAATAGCCACCTTTGCAAAGGTTACTAAGAAAGTTGAAAGTCTGGGGGGAAAAAAATTAAGGTTTATTATCTTTACTGCCCCACCTTCTACAGAGAAGTACTATTTTCCTAGTTTCTAGAGATGCTTTGGAACAAGACATGCTGTATGGACAGCATTTAAGACAAGACCAGTATAATACCAAATGGAACAAAGCACCAAAAGAAGCAGAAACTTCTTCATCCACTGACACATTCTAATCAACACTGGCTGCTTTCCAGGAAGCTTTACTTTAGCCAAGAGGTAAATGGATTAAATTCAAGAACGTTTATGTGCAAAAGCAAAATGACTGGAGCATCTTTCATATAAGGAGAGGCTAAGAGTGCTCGGATTGTTTAACCTCGAGAAGAAAGGGTTTGGGAGGAGGTATCAGCATGTATAAATACCTGATGGGAAGGAGTAAAGAAGACGGAGTTAGACTCTTCTCAGTGGTGCCCAGTGACAGGATGAGAGGCAACGGGCACAAACTGATATACAGGAATTTCCACCTAAACTTAAGAAAAAGCTTTATCACTCTGAGGGTGGTCAAACACTGGAACAGGTTGCCCAGAGAGGCTGTTGAGCTGGAGCAATACACACTTAACACACATACACATACACCAGATGCTTGAAAACTTTGTATTTACTTTATCCTCATCCACAAAGCATATACACACCCTTCAATAACAATTTCATAGTCCTGTAAATTTTGGCATGAATTATGTAGAATTCCTGCTTAACTCAAAATTGCTCACTGAATTAAAAATTATAAGCAGCTGAGATGTCTAAATGATGACGTTTTATTTAAAAACAGCAGCAGCATTACTAACTGAAACAACCTAGTTTAAATCTCTCCGAGAAAGATTAGTATCATCTTTGTTCTGATTAGTGGGTTTTTGGATTTATAAAGTCCTTACACAGTTAGCCTTTCATGAAGCACTGTTAGGATCAAAAACATCTTTATGAAAATGTTCCCATATAATGAAAACATAACAATTTAGCTTCATTTTACCCAGAGCAGGAGAAGTGTGCCAGTTAAAAGCACTGTTTTGAGGGTTTAATATCCTGGCAGGTTGAAAATGGGTTAGGCTATAGCCTAGCAAAAAGATTCTGAGCCCAGAGAGGATTTTTCTCTTTTTTATGTCAAGCATACTTTAAATCTCCTAAGCTGTTTATAATGATACAGTTGCCAAAAATAGTCCAGCTAAAAATCAATGAATTGGCCACATCTGTTACAGAATAGAAAGAGAGCCCCAAAACACTGTGGAATACTAGAAAATGGTCTTAAAAAGTAAAAGATGGAGTATTCTGAAAGTTTGTTTTTTTAAATCTGGAAACAAAACAAGCGTATCCATTTTAAGTACAATCTTAATATTCATGAATAGTGGCATTGCCTATGAGCAAATACTGAACTTTTCACAGGATCAAAAAAATACCATAGAACACCAAATACCATGATATCAAGACTTTTGGACAACAGGATTTCAGTATACAGAGTGTTCTCCTGCTTCCTCATCAATGCCTCCTTCCTGATATGATTTTGATGCAGACCAGGACTTATCCTTAATGAGGTTCTGCTTCACTTCAAGAACAGTAGTGCTGGTTAATATCAAGTCACAATGATCCTCTCATCTTCACTAGCTCTACTTGAACTATCCAATAAATTACAGACCTCCACTGATTGCATAAAGAAATAACAATGTGAACTACACTCCTCCCTTAGCTGGGGCAATGCTGCCTTACAACATCAGCAATGCTAAGGAGGAATACAGGTAAACAAACAGGAAAAACATCTAGCTATCTTTTTCAAAGTGTATCCAGACTGCACAGAGTGAGCCATAGGGCTAGTGGTATGCATACCACAGCAATATCGGCACCTTATGTTGGTACTGTTTGGCAAAATCACAATATTACCGTTATTATATAATTACTTTTTTTTAAATGTCAGCTGACTACGCCTATGAGTCACTTGCCAAACTCTGTACAGACTAACACAAATTACATGAGACTGTGAGAAAATTTAATAGACGTTTGCTGGAAGAAGAACAAGGAAACTCAAAGTACAATTTCATGCTTAGTTAAAGGCAGGCTAAAACTGCTGCTACTAAAAGAGGAGACTACCTTTCCTCTGTGCTTACGATGGCCCTGGCAATCCTGAAACTGCACGGTGAGTTGGATCAGCTGAATAAGCCAAGAGAAAAAATAAGTTCTCTTCCCCAGTACGTCCCTCTCAACTATGCACTTGTTGAGCAATTGCTCTAGTTGACGAGAGGGAACGGGCCTAAGTGGATGGACAGGGCCAGAGGATTGGTGGCTTTTTGTTTTGGCAGCTGGGCAGTTTGGTATTAACGTCCATCAGTCATGAATTATCAGATATCACTGATACATACATGTAAGGTATTATTTTCCAGCAACATAGGCCTTGCTCACAGTTTGTTCAGTTTTCACAAGGAGAGTAAAAATCAACTTCCAATTCCCATTTTGAAAGCAGTAAGTTATTTTAAAGAAAATAATTCCATGATCAATTTTTTTTCAGTTCCCTTAACAGGATGGATTATTTTCCTTGAAATTTTCCTTAGGGCATCGGTCTAACGTAAACAACAGATTTCAGCCTGAGGAATTATATTTTTGCTCTTATAAGCAAATGAAAATCACAATCTTTTTATGGGGAGTGCTGGAAGCTTTTATAGTACGTGGATCTACTTTAATAGAGGAATTTCCATACAATACCAGTGCCAACTGGAACTCTTTGGACATTCTGTAGATGAACTTGCTCTGATAAAGAGATTTAAACACCGTCCTCAAAATTGTTTGCAGATGTTTGTACTATTTGATCAATTTCTGATTATCTACATATACAGCTTAGAGTACCTACCTCTATCTGTGAGCTTAAATGTCAATATACTCATCTTAAAAAGTTACTTTAAATGCACATCTACTTTGCCCATTCCACTAATGCAAAATTCCAAAGGATTATCCAGTTAAGTGTTTTAGAATTGGTTATTACGTGACACTGATTATGGTAAGCAATCATGCATTTAATTTTCCAGTTTGAATTTCCATTTGACAGCTTCATGCAGTAATTTGCCATAACTGAAAATTAAGGTTTGACTATGCACCAGAACAATCAACTTAATCCCTTACATTTAAAAACTGATAAATTAAATAAACCTACGGACTCTTCCCTCTCTCAATTCCATGCTACTAAATAGGGGGAAAAAAAAAAAAAACCCTTTCCAAAATTACCATAAACGAATTAATGTATATAACGCATCTAGCAGAAGACACAGCACTTCAGAATTCATTTAGCGTGTGAAGAAAAAAAGCTTAGCATAACATTTAAATATTCTTTGAGGAATAAACTGTGTATATAAGTGATAAATATATTCACCACGGTAACCAAGGGTAAATTGCATTGCAAGTTGCATTAAACAAAGAATGCAGTCTATCTACCATAAGAGAAGTTGTTTCCAGTATTTGTGTCTGTAAAACGCTGATTTATAAACTGGTTATAGGACTGCTCATTTAGTAATGGAAGAATAAGAACAGAAGTCTCACATGTAATTTTCTCAATTAGTTATAAAATAAACTACAACAAAATAGAATGAAAAAGTCATATTGAAGTTTTTATGAAACAAAGCATGAGTGAAGTCCACTGTTGTAAATACTCTTTTGAATGAGCCATCAAACTATATTTAGAATCAAGATGAAGAAAATGCATCACTATCTGCATCTGATTCAAAGTCTGAATACTACAGTACAGCATCACTAAAAAAAAAAAAAAAAAAATAGGAAATGCAGCTTTGATGGTGAACAAAAAATTGAAAAAAAGCATTAGGTTTGATTAAATTATCATCAAGTAGAAGACTTTACAAGCTTATTCAGTCTGGCAGTCATTTTTGAAAAACTGAGAACAATTCAAGTTGTAGATACTGAAGTTCAAAGTAGTAAAGTCATTTACTATGACTTTACAATGTAAATGCTCATTTACAATGAATACAATGTTGTAGAATCAATTAAAAAAACTATCATATTGAAATTGGCTAAACTATTATGTGGAAATTATAAACAAAGCATTATTTTATATATTTGTGACAAATATTGTTAGGAAGGGATTTAGTAGACAGAAGGCAGTGTAGACTAAGAAAAACATGACTAGTATCGTCATAGCAGTTAAGTATAATAGTTTTAGGACTTACCAGCAGTAAAGTCATTATTCAGATCTATAAATGCATGAGAGTGTGGTATATACATTTTACTTTGAGTGTCCAATGCAGGATGCCATGACAAGTTCCTACAAGACAAAAAGAAAAAGCAACACATCTCATCAGTGCTTAGGAACTGTAAACCATGATAATACATGTTTATTAAAAAAAAGAAGAAAAAAGTAGGAAACTTGAAATAAAATTGAACATAAATCACGTTCTCCTAAATCAAAGTTAAAATTACTGCGTAGCTCACAATATACCAAGTCACTGGATTAACTGTTGAAAAGGTTTTGCCAAAGATGATCCATATGTAAGGGACTTCAGCTGTTTTCTACTAACCGTCTGAAGCAACTTTTTTTGTACACAGACAAGTATTACCACGCACAAAGAATCAAGATTTAGTGCCTGCACTTCAACTGTAAATGTTCAAATACTGTCCCCGTCCTTTTACCCAAGCAGGTTTATTGCCACTACTTGTTTGAAACTTATTTTAGGATTAGTAAAGATGAATAAAAATGGACATAATCACATGCTGTGTAAAGCAGCTGATGGACTTTAAAGCCCAAATAAACAAGCAATTCCCCCTCCCCGCCCATTAGACTATAGACTGTGGGATTCACCATACAGGTGATCGAAGCTTTACATATGCTCCTGCAGCCAGCTAGAAGTTCTGCCTAAAAATCCATAAAAATTAGCAGGTCTTCACCATATTCGCATGAAAATTAAAAACTGTTTAAAATTCCATGTATTATCAAAGGAATTATTACTATCGCAAGGCAGTGTTACGAATGCAGTATTTAATATAACATTTCAGAGATTATCATAATGTTCTACAAACCTCAACAGCGAGAACAGAGAATATGGAAACGTTTTGCCAATTCAAGATGTGCTATATGTCTTTCAGTAACTTCTCTCAAGTCACAACCTCTTATGTTATTCAGATTCATTTTTATAGGAAAAAAAAATGAAGTAATAGTTACATATCTACCAGCTATATGGAAAGTCTTAATAAGTCATTATCAAGTTTTGACAGTTTAATTACAAAAATACAATGAAATGCTACTATGTCTGTAACTGAAGGCAGTTTTCAATCTCAGAAATGTGTATGGGACACAAAAAAGTATTGTTTCCATAAAGCAAAAATGTCTTATTATTATAGAGCAATAGTTCAAAATATCATGCAACTCTAACTGGTGGTCATAATTAACACAACAATAACACATTAATTATGTCTGACGTTTAGTTCCTTGTAATCATGGGTTTAGTCATAAGCGAACACAAATATATACTTCCCGTGTTCGTCAGCTGAATATGTAATCTAAAGACATCTAGTAACTATATGATACATTCCCTTCTAATGCAGTAGTTTCCAGACATTATTTGTCTTAAACAACTATGCTTCTACAATTTCTTTGGAAAATAGCTGTATTTATTTATCAATATATGGACATGCAGAATGATGGTACAATTAATGCTGGAAAAATGCTTAAAAACTGAATATTAAGTGTGCTTTTCTCTCAGTTATCAGAGCTGTGGCACGCTGAGCCTTGTGACAGACAGCTCTCATTAAAGTTTGGAGAAAGCTCAGTAAGATGCTGAAGCGTGCTAGTTGGACTGCTTTTCTAACTCCCCATCACTGCTATCAATTAAAGGAATAAGTGTTAATAAAGCAACTGATACAAGCTGCAAGTCCACTTCCTAGTTCAGAGTACTTTAAAACAATGAACGAACCAACCAACTTTTATTATTTCATTCATATTTATTTTTACACATATATAAATCTAAATATCTTTATCTCAGACTAATAGTATATTTTAGCTCAACGATTTACTCTGACAATAAGGGACAGCATTCCCTATGCTCATTTCCATCATAATATTCACTCACAGGCCTGTAACATTTGTCCTTGCTATCCCCTTTTGAATGCTGTTCATGAAAATCTCCTATTTTTCAAGACATCTACATGAAAAAAGGGACAACTGTCAACCTTACAAAATGCTGTATTGCAAGCCATATGCAAGCAGCTGAAACCATCCTAGTTACATACCTAATTTGTGGAAAAGATTGCAAAACACTGAAGCAACGTATTACATACACGGAACTCGTCCAGGGAAGCTCTAAAATATGAGAACCTGTCACAAAAGCTCAGTTTTAAATTCTAATTACACAGCTATAAATCTATGTAAAAGCCACCAATGCATTACCCCTGAAGAGCAAGGGTAATTACTATCTGAAGAGCAAAACAGTGATCCAGAAAAGGCTACAAAGTTTCCAGAGGTAAATAAATAGTATCATTTCTAATTAACAAGGCAGCTCCAAAGAGGAAGAGCTGTATTTATCATAAGCAGCTTTTGAATTCAAAGAAATAAATGCCTCCTTAAAAGAAGAGAAAAGAAAAAAAAAATAGTAGTTGTGCTTCTATTCTCTTGCCTCAGCCAGAAAGGAGAGCTTTCCAAGATAAGGATATTACGTTGTGATAATCTCTTCTGAATAAGCATCTCAAATTGTCTAACAGTCAGTGCTGGAGCGCATCGGAGGATGCAACTGTCCAAGAAACTTGTGGTTTCTTAATGGCCTAATTTCAGGAAAAGATTATCTCTTTGCTTGTGTTTTTGAAGTGCATGCCTTCTTTATTCACTATTTTTTTAAATTACTTTTTCACTTGTGCAAATTTGGAACTGATCACTTCAGACTCTAGCTGGGTTACTCAAATTTCATTCTCAAGTGATGAACACTACTTGTCAATATTGAATGAAAAACAATCAGTGTATAGGTACATGTCATTTAAGAGAGACTACAGAAAGATCCAATTAAATAGTTAATTGCTAAACTATCCATTTTGAAAAACTTTTTCCATAAATCACTCGCAAGACAATGTGAAATTACTCAGCAGAGCTGGATTAACAGTAATGCAAAACTGGAGACAAAAAAGACGAAAGTGCTTGTCAAATAACGTGGACTCATTCTAGCCTGGAATCACAAACAGCTGTGTCTGGTGTATGATGTTTCAAACTGGGAAAATTTCCACTTCTGAAGCAAACTGGGAATTGATTTGAGGCCACTGAAGTTTACTGAGATACAGTAATACGGGACGCAGAACAAACTGATCCAAGTCTAAATGGAGAAGATCCTTCTTGATGTCCAGGAAAAGAGATAACGTAAAAGCAATTAAACCCAAGATCATCCTGCAACTGGATGCAAGTAGTCTCTTAAGCGTTGACATGTAAAGGCTAGATCCAAATCAGAGAGAGATCCTATTCTAGCCTTGGATCAACTATACACCACCTAGTGTGTTGTCACAGAAAAACACATGTTAATTTAGGGAGGTGAAGACAGAATTTTTCAGGACCAAAAGGCAGAGACGTCCTCCCAGCTGTCAGAAATCCTGTTATTTATTAACTTGTTGTTTGTGACAAACAAATCTGCATAAAGGCAGCCATTAAGTAATACTAATTTGCAAAAATCATTTCTGTACATTGCTGTGTGCTGATAACATTTATTTTCAGCTACTGTTAAAATATCTACATTCCTTCATGTGTTTCTGTTCTAAAGGGACTGCACATCTAGAAAAACTCTCTTCTAGTAGCATATTGGAATATGAAAAATCCTTCAAAAATTGTAGTGGTTGAATCATCAGGTATGTTATTTTCAGAAGCCTTAGATAATACACTCAGAAAAACCTCAATATACACTAGACCTAAGTAGGACAGTGATATTATTGTGATATTACAGTCCCGCCCTTGGGAAAGACTTATTTTATTCCAGTAATATTATATACATATTACATATGCATTTAAAATATATATTTATTACAATATGCAAAGTACTTATTCTCCATGACTCATTTTATGGTCAGCAAAAATAAGCATCAATTACTTCCCAGAGATCACAACTAAGCCTTAAAACTTGAAAAGAAATCACATTATCTTAAAGAAATAATGAAATGTTCTCTATAGGTTTTCCTATGTGTTCATTTCTGAAGAAAAACAAGAAAATTAAAGCTATTTATATATGCAGCTCTAGTATAAATTTTTTTAACTTAAAAATAGAAAAATGTTCTTCTAAGCAGATGCAATAAAGTTGTTTTCCACATACAAGACATTGCTTATCTTGTTGCCTATAATACTCATCCTTATTTGGAACTATAACCAGTAAGTTTATTTGTATCAACACGCTGGTAAAAAGATTTCTTCAACAAAAATGAAACGAAGCCCCTCAAAATGTTTGTCTTTATCTTAAAAAAAACTGATAAAAATCTTCAATAAATGATCACTGCAATGCTACTGTTGCTACACATGAGGAATTTGCAGGCTCTGTTACATAAGCCATAGACATAAATAAAAGTAATCATGATAAAATTCAAGTACAGAATAATGACAAAAAAAATATATTGCCAAGAAAGGTATAAAGGTTCCAATCACATATTTAAATGATTTAAAAATAATTGAAACATTATTTTCCCTAATTCACTTCCAAATGACCTCTGGGGAAAGGAAAATACCCTTGTTGCGAAGGAACCATTATAAGGACCTAGTTAGGAACAAAAGGTTCTAGTTAGGAACAAAAGGTATAGATTTTTTAAACTCGCTGTATCAGACTGATATTGAAAAATAAAACACCCCCCCCCCCACACACACACACCCTTAATTAAACATTTCTTAAGGGCCATGGAGATGCAAGCTAGGAAGCCAAACACAGAAACACAGTAATCATCTGATTGACTTTTCCAGGGCTAATGGACCTCTTTTGACACAATTGCTAAAAAAAGCCACATGGAAATGCAAGGACTTGATAACACACACTTTCTTTTAAATAAAATGTTAAGTATTGATTACATAAACCCTAAACAGCTGTCACACCAACATCCAGGTTTCTCCTGAAACACACGGCCACATGGCATTGCAAGTTTCCACATTAATGTTAACAAATAACATTCAAGACGATGCTTTCAATTTCCACTTAAAAGCTCCAAAATACTAAGTTAGAAGACTCAAACTTCTCTAGAATCATTTCACACAGAAAATTACTAAGCGAGAAAGAGCTAATTTAAAGGTCTAAAAAGCTTAAAAAAAAAAAGCTAAAGTTTAACTTAAAGTTAATTTACAGAATCCTGTAAAATAATATGTCCTCAGTACCTAAAATCATTTATTTCATTATCAGTCAAAAGAAAATGGTTCAAGGAGTCAAAAGAAACAAGCAGATTTCATATGATCACAAAACTAAGAATGTGGTATTCATTTTTTACAATTATTATCCAATTTGCAACTGTGTTTCGATTCCTGAATCTTTTGAATACTTCTTTCCTTCTGTGGACTCTTTTTTTCCTTTGCATTTTAGGAATAAAAAACCGCAGAGAAAATACAGCTTGCATGTTCAATAGCTAGCTAAAAACATCTAACATAAAAAATCATTTCCTCCAGCCCTGGGGAGGAACCATGTTAAAAATCTTTTTAATAGTTTAGTTACAAATGCAATAAAAGCTGTTGACTGAAATCAACCAATCTTTGAACACTATGCTGTAATGTGTTGTCCATCTCATAACTGTGATATGAGTTACACTAAATCTCTACAGAAAACTAAACACAGTATGAGATACAAGTTCCTGCATTTTATGAAATGAAATTATAAAAGTTACTTTCATTGGTCATGTACACAATTTTTAATATTGACATGTTGCTGTATGTTCCTTGTTATATGTTCTCCATTAGCAAATAAATCACTATTTTCCCCCCAAGTTGATGTCTTTTCTATTTCTTTGATCTGTTAAAATTTTCATATAACATGCTCCCAGTAGAATTTCTTCTGAAATTAGAAGGTAGAGGAAAAAAAGCAATTGCAAGATCCTAAAATAGCACTGATAAATCTAGGAAAATAGGCATTTAAAAGCTTCAGCAAAGCAAAAAGGAGGCAATGACCATACTAAGTTGGTTGGAATTCTAACGATAAAAGTAAAGTGGCTAGCGCTTTACTGCTTCCATTTTACGAAAAACATCATTTTAAAGTACATTGCTTGTTGAGATTAATTATTTGGCCAAGAGAAGTTAGGCAATAAAGTACAAAAGGGAATTCCCTGACACACTTCTATGATGCATGAGAAATCTGTATTTTAAGGTACGTGAAAAATAAAATGTGAATTCTTTGACATATTGATAACTGATTCCCTCTGTGCTCTACTGTATCTTCCTTCTTGTAATCTCAGATTACTGAAAATGTACAGATGCTTACCCTACTCTTACTCCTCCTTTCCGATACTTAATTCTCTATCAAGCTTAAATGTTTTGTTTCTGCTCATATCGTAAAACATTACTCAAAATGTTACCTATAAGATTTTGAAACTTTAGTTTTGAAAGTACATCTCGACTAAATTTCTGTCCCGTACGTTGTCTGCTACTTGCAGAATCTATTACTGGATCACGTTAATAACGCAGTTTCTTTTTCATTCTTTAGTTTGCACCTTAAAAGAGAGCAGAATTTTCTTTTTAATTCTGAGCACGTTCTTTGCCAACCGAGAGAGAAAAATCTTTAAATTCGGAAATAATTTCCGATTCAGGTTTGCCTCTTTTGAGATGTCTTCCCTTTTTCAATGATACCCCAAACCTCAGTATTATCAATGAGGTCCTTCCTTACAAAAATTTGAAAGTTTGTGTATTCCAAGTTCAGTTTGGCAAGACAGGAAAAGATGTACAGAGCCATAGTTTCAGTTGTGTAAACAAAGCGCCATCCTATTCAAGAAAATAATATTCACTAATTCAGAATCACACCACAACGTATCCTCGAAGACACAGTCATAATAGCTGTCACAAGCTAAAGCTTTCTTTTTCTTCATCAGATTACAAGTCCCCAAAACAGCATCAGGAAAACTGAATAGCATGTAAACTGTCCTTCTATAGGATCACTTCATGTTTAATGTATCCATTAGTGTTTTTGACAAATAGCTGTCTATTTTCAAAAGACAGTTTGAAGTTCTTTGTATCGTGCCCAATCTTTGAGATATTTCACTGCACTTTCAGTTTGGTTTTAGAGATTAGTCCCTCTGAGTGGATAGAGATCCATTCTTTTGTTGTGCTTTGATTTCAGCATCCATATTCAAAGCATTTAAACAAAAATTAATCCTCTGTATAGTTCTTACTAACCATTATAACCAAAACTCCACTCCAAAAAAAAAAAAAAGTGAATTTTTTATCCTAGTATTTACCAGGTAGTCCCACACTAGAAATCCCAAGGCTAGCAGGGATTTTAATCCTAAAACTTAGTCCACTGTTACTGCAAGCAATCAGGTCACATAGAACTGCAGTCAACTTTTATTTGTCGAAGAGTGAACTTAGCCACTCCTTAACATAAAATACGTGATGCAGAGAACATCACTCGCATGCAAACGTAAAGCTGCCCCTGATTTTTACAGAAAACTCTTTACAACTCTCCCTGCATTAGCGCACCAAGCATTCTCCTTAATATGTATGTTAATACCCTTACATTTTGTACATTCCATGCTTTTGCTTTTCCTATGTTATCTAACCTTCCCATTACAACTCATTTCCTACATAAATGAAAGTTGAAATTATTTGTAAGTTTACCCAAAACTCTCTTTAAACTGAGTATTTCCCTTTTGCCACCCCTTATATTGGAAGATCTGCTCCAGTACTTCTCTCCTCCAATCATCAGCCTTATGCTTCCTGTTAGACTGAATGTAGCTGAAATTCTACAGGCTTTACTTAATAACTTTGGTTTACATTTTTGTGTAACAGCATAACAGAACTCCAAATAAAGATTGTAATAATAAATACCATGGTGTACTAACAAAGGAGATGATAACTGCTCCAAAAAAAAGATTTCTCATATCAAGTAACAGTTTTTTTTCCATAGCTGCCATAGCTTTTTTACTTCCTAATGAAAGAATGCTGCAGAAGTTAACATAATGTTTAAAGATACACATGGGAAAGAGGAAAAACTTCATGTGCTTGCACAGTTCTAATAAAAAATGACAGTGTTATGTCTCTTTAATAACAACAGAAGTGGATGCACAAAGAATCAGTAAGTTACTGAAATTCATGCTAATAAACAAACTCTTAGCTTACCTGCCTATCAGTATCTGTGGCTTATTTGAATCGCTTGTGACACCAAAGACATCAGGAATCAAGTCACCATTGAAGCTGAAAATACAAAACAATTTCAGTATAACCCAATCTGTTATAGGAGTCAAAACTGAATGTTCTTAAGTCACCATATATACGTGGTTAGCATTTTCCCTCCAAGCAATGAAAAACTTTCAGCCGTGCATTCTTTTCTGAGCTTTGGCTCTTGTCTGGGCTGTTAGTAGTATGCTTCTTTGAATATCTTAAATGATGTTATGCATTTGATTTCTCAAATGTGTAAATCAGTTTATGTTACTTAACAAGAAAAATACTTGTGGTTATTTTGCTTCAAGATTCTTTCAGATTTGAGAATGCAAAACTGATCAAAAACTTCTCTTAGTCAAGTCTCTTGCCTCCTCTACCCTTCTAACACAGACAAGCTCATCTCCAGGCTTTCTCCAGTTACCAGAATCTTAAATAGTTCTTGTTTACATACACCCTGAACAACAGGAGTTTGGTGAATAAGGTTTGATTTTTATCATCAGTGGAACTTGGGGAAGGCTTACTAGCATAACCAATAAAGCAAAATTGCGGCCTACTTGACATTGCATGTAAGGCACAAGTACAAACTGAAAACACAATACAAAGTGCTTACAGAGAGTAATTTTTGTTTTGCACAAAATCAAAAAAAAAGGCTCTTTTTCTGCCCAAAACACTGAGCACTGAAATTAAAAAAAATTTAAAAGCTCATTCTGTTAATGTTGCCAGGATGGTATAACATACCATATTTGTAAAGATGACGGATATGCTTGCTCAGCTTTTGTTAGACCAATTGATGTTACCTCTCCTTATAAACTATCCCCTTCTTAAAAGATGATAAAAGACTATAAGGAATATTTCAGATTTTAATGTTAAAATATATTTATCTAAGATACTCTTAGTCACCGTTACAAATTTTTTTTCAAAAGAGGCAGAATATACTTACTCCATTATTAGAGGCTCATCATAAAAAGTCCTATTTAACACATTTTTATGGTTAAAATCTGAAAACAGAAAGAAAATTTGATTAAACTACCAATATTTTATGACATTTACATATTAAGCTTAAATACAAATCTTCTATTAATTTAGACTACTAATTTGAAGATCAAAAACCAGTAACCACTGAGCATAAATAACTAAATGAGTTCCTGAATTTCTGTGTAAATTTAAGCTTTTAATTTTAGATAGGAAAGGTGAGTTACAGTTCAAACTCTGAACCTTCTTCTCTCTCTACTACCTGAGATTTCAGCACATTATTCCAAATAGACCTTAATGAAAACTATTTCTACGGATGACTGCAGTCACACAGGCATAATACAAGAACTCTGAGCTAGCTGGGAGGAAGACACTCTCCTAATATTTTTATAACGTTGTACATGACACCTCTGTTTACTGTTTTGTTACTGTAAAATACATTTCTAACCACACATACTGTGTGCTCGAAATAAGGATTAGAAGTAGACTGCCTAAATGGGAAATGAGAATTTTAAATTCTAATCGGTTAATCTCCTCTTGGACTTCACTTTTACTTGTGGCCCAAACTCCTTGCCACATCATCCCAGTTCCCTTCTTGTCTCACATACTAAGCTTGTCTTCTTTCTAGCCTCCGCATTTGTATGCGAGTGCCCTCCTCTTTATTTGTCACCCTTTCATTATCCAACTGAGTACCACATATCTTCCCATTAATCATACTATGTACTGACCATTTTCTGAATTTTTAAGCTCTAACTCCTTTCTAAGTCCTCTGAAAATAATCCATTTATTCATTTGTGCCTCTCAATATTCCTTCATTCAGGAGCAAGAGAGCATCAATTCATCTAAATCCTTCATATTCTTCCCACTACTACAGCTATTATTCTTTTAACATTTGATCCAATGCATTTTCCCAGGTTGCTTGTTTCACATCTGAATAAAACCAGAAGTAATGCTATCTGAGGCGATCACTTGCCTCACCTGTAAATATTTTATACTATACTTGTTTATAACAGTGACTGCTTCTCAACAGTTTTTATGAACTTAAAAGGATCTTTTTCTTTTCTATCCTTCTTCAAACTTCAAACTGAAACCCTTTCCTAGCAAAGTAACAGAAAACAGAAGAGACTTCAAGAAGTCACACAGTCCACAACTCTACCCTAAAATAGGATCAGCTATACTTTGAACATTGCTGAGAGGTATTTTTCTGAAGTTCTTGAAAATTTTCAAGGATGGAGACTGCAACCTACCTCAAACACCTTCTTCAGTGGATCACTGCCTCTAATGTTTTTGGCTTAACAGTCACAAAAGTATTCGATTAACGTTGGCAAGTTTAGGTGTGATATTTTGAAAATATATATATTAAACTTTATACCAGGTTCTCAGCACACACTACGATGAGATGGTATTTTGTGATAATCTGTGAAGCTGACAAGAGCACAATGAGGAAGCCACAAGAAGTAGCTCTTCTGTTAGTGGGCTCCTCCCAGTCCGTAATACCATTTGCAAGTAATATCATTACTTATATATTACTTGATTATCATTATAATATCATTAGCAAGTTTTAGCTCTGTTCTGTTATGTTAATTATTAACTACAGTTTTACAGCAAAATGAGTACGACGCTGCATAGCTACTAACCACTACTGTAGTTGTAAAAACAGTCACCACAGAGAGATGAGTTTTAATATAAAGTATTTTCAAAAGTTATAAGTCTAACAATCTTATTAAGAAACAGTCTCAACAACTCACCTAGCGTTTGGTTGTGTCCCCAGAAAATAAACACTGAAAGTTCATCTCTGTCATGATTTGGAGTCCGGGTAGTCAGGAGGACATCCATTTGCGAATCACCATCATAATCTCCAGGAACTACACTGGTTATTACAACATTTGCAGGTCTAAAATTAAAATATTGCAAATAATTGTACAGATGCGTGAGTGAAAATTGAAAGGGTTTGTGTTTTCAAAGGCTTGTCTTCTCTTCCCAAATATTATTAGTTGGCACAATATAATATTTTCCTCCATCAATTTGCTTTTTTTAGTCATCTATTGCAAAAATAGAGCAAGTTTAAATTGTACTCAAGTATTCTGTGGAATTCTGTCTTTCTCCAAGGAAGGAAGATATTTTTAATCCTACGAAGCAGCTAACAGACATTCTTCAGCCATATCTCATTTTCAATGCTACATAGACTTTTAAAAACCCCTACATATGTCTCAGAATCAGCTCTCAAAAACCATGTCTCAGAGAGCAGAGTCTTTCAGTTGGATTCCAAGAGCTTAGACTTCATGTTTTATGGTCTTGCAGCATAAGTCAGATAGATAGGTGAATCTTTCGGATGCAGACGCAGTCATCTCCTCCCATCTTCTGCCACATCTTACCACTTCTCCTGAAATTAGTTTGCTCTTTCATACTTTTTGCTTGGTTAATCTTATACAGAAGATAGCCTACTTAGATTTTCTGCCTTATGTGCAAAAATATGGATCTTTCCATTGAGAATTTCTGATTCAAGGATTAATTAATTTAATTTCTCAATTCCAATTCTTAATTCCATTAAGAGCTTTCTAACTCAGTGCATTTCTAATACACTAAACAAAATAGATTAGCTTCTTCCAAGAAAGAGCTGCGTAAGAAAAAAAATTAATATAACTATAGAAGATGAAACTGAGATATAACAGCCATTTAACTTTTAAGGGACATCACACTACCGGTAACCATTATTAATATGCAATAGCATATCCTATAATGCTATTATGGTTAAACTATACACACACACATATACTTTTTTTTTTTTTTACATTTACATTTACTTGTTTTTTTACATTTATTAAAAAAATTCTGCTTTTTTTTTTTTAAACTGCGTTTAAACTTTAAAAAGGTACACATCTCTACACCAGAAATACTAGAATACCATTTTCCATATCTCTCTCTAAAGCAAATACTGGCTGTACTCCAATAATAGCCACAGAAGCTACAAGAATTTTGCTGAAAACATGTCTTGGAATGGAGACTAACCCTACCTTCCAAGAAGATTTATCTTAAGATATTGGCGGCAGCTGGCTTTACGAGGAAATAAAGTTCTCAAACTAAGTCAGCTGCAAGAAGTTTCCAAGACATAAGTATTTTTAATATTAATTAGAGGACAAAAACAAACTGTAGATATTTCATAAGAAGGTTGGAAGTCATGTCTACTAGTCAATTATATGAATGACAAAACTCATCTCCACAAATTCTGTCATGTGACCCAGCAGTCAAAACAAAGCAACACAAAAAGTATCAGGCAATGAATCAGAAAACTTCCTAGTCAAAGACTTTGAGCTCCAAGAGTAAACTGAACTACAGAGCCAAACAGGTAAAAACAACAGAAACAATTCTAGTCATGTTCCCATTGACTGCAGAGATGCACTTTCAACAGAAATTACCACTTACATTGTTTCCTCATTGAATACTTACTTCATTGATAACCTAACCCTGGGCTTAAAGTATGGTTCCTTTTGGTCTGCCAAAAAGATAAGCAATTCATTTCCTGCAAAAGCAAATAAGACTTAATGAATAACCCTTAAAGATGAAGATCACAAATGGGTTCTATACGAAAATAGTATTTCAAAAGCTATGCTGTCAGTAGTCACTTCTCACAATAGCAGAAACCTTCAAAGAGTTCCCACACAACCACTTCCTCCTCCTTCAAAATGAAGCAGGAGTGCTTCTTCAGAACAATATAAATCTAAATGCATCTCAAAGAGATGCTAATGTCAAGAAGCTTCTTTGGGCCCCAGTGTTGGACCTTTATCCTTCCTATTGTTACCACATCTGTTAAAATAAAACTTTCTATAATGAATTAGAAAATGTTACGTGTGGAAAAGCAGTAGGTAGCAGTTCCATACTAAACTAAACTAAAGCTAACTAACTAAAGCTTAAAGGTAACTCCAAGTGAAACTCACAGAAGTAACCCACTTCCCTTCAGCATTTCCTCATTTAGAAGCAATGATATATGCTACTTTCATGTAATTATTTCAGGATGATCTGAATAAAAGCCTACATATTCTGTTAGACAATGAGTTGGCATTTGAGGAACAAAAAAAATTTGTAAACAGAACTTCCAAATGCACTTTCATTCAGTAAACTACAATGCATATGTACTTACTTCCGAAAGTAAAATCATAGTCTACAGCTAAGAAAAAAGATTTTCTTTTTCTTTTATGCATCCTCAATAATTTTTGTTTTCTGCATCCTCCAGACAACTCAGCTGTAGCATCCTGAACTGTAAGAACTGGGTTACTTGACTGGAAACAATTCTATAGCTCCAAACCTGAGCTACCACAGTGCATTTGAGGTGCATCATTCTGTGGCAAATTTCATGGCTGTGGGATAGCAGAATACCAACTTCCTCACTGTGGAAAGAAGGTAACTGCCATGAACTTATTTGCAAAGGAGAATATGCCAACAATGAGTATATGAAAACAAACCCTTTTACTATGGGTAAGGTGACAGTGCAGTCCCATCTGACAAGCTAACAAAGCCAGGGCTGCGCTACACATTCAGAGGTGATTGAAGAAACTGGTACATAGTAAGGTGAATAAACCTGCTGGCTGGCTAATGTTTTCATAACAAAAATGTGGGTCACCTAATGACTTGTCACCTGTCTTTTTATTCTCTATGTGATAATGACCATGAGGAAGAAGCAGAGCTATCACAATTTACACAGATCTTACACAGATCAGGTTCCAAGTCAATTATAACTTGACTGAGAAACGAGATCTTCTGGAGAAATGAGATCTTCTGGTCACTGTAGACAGATCTACGAAAACTTCAGCTCAGTGCTCATTAATAGTCCAAAAATCCAGAATATTGGTAATTATTACAAGAACAGAAAGCAAAGCTACTAAGCCACCACATAAATCTGTTCACATATACCTTAAACGCTGTTTGTAGTCCTGGTCCTCTCATCACAAAAAGGCGACAGAGGAACAGGAAAAGTACTAAGGAGGATGATAAAGATGGAATAGCTTCCCTATAAACAACAATTAAATAGACAAGAAATCTGCAGTCTGAAAATCTGAGTGAGAACACAGAAGTTTCTAACACTGCCCAGTGAAATGGAAAAGGGGAATAGGAGAATGAGCAAGTGCCCTGCGCTATCCAAAGAGGCATCAAATCCAATTAGAAGGTGGTAGGTTAAAAAGGCAAACAGCATGAGTTTCCCCACTTGCAACACACAAAACAGGTAAGCTTATACACCATTTCATTTATCTCTACATTACTGCATTGTACTTTCAAAAATGACTAGACCTAGAGCTGGTAGTTCTGAACTGTTCTTGCATCAAGATACTTTGGGATTAAGGTTACCTCTAAAGTTTTGCTAGGTTACGCTCATTTATAAATCTCTGAGCACAAATTGAAAGACTAGGTCTTTAGCTTATTTCACAACTACAAAATTAACTTTAAAGAAAACACTTCTTGCCCTATATAAAACCATAGCTCAGTGCAAACGAAAAAATATTTATTTCCATACAGAAAATCTCTCAGGAGTAAAGCAAATGACAATTTTGATCTTGAAAATAATCTTATTATTCACTTTTCTCACCTTCAGTAATACTGCAAACTGAGGCTCAGACATGAACATTAAATGATATATCTTAAAATATGAGGACAAGAGGCTAATAATTCCCAGAAGAAAAAAAAAAAGTTTTTCCCTACCCCAAAAAAGAGAAACAAATTTCCAACAAGAATTTGTGGCTTTTCAAAAATACGTTATAATAAGGACACACAGAAACACAAACGCCCATCAGATGAAAGCCCCGTTGCTGTGACATTTATACCTGTCGGTCTACACTGCTTGCTCTGTAAGCGTACGATAGGCCGCCAGGAAAAGCACCTCACCGACAGGTGCTTATGACACCGGGACGGAAAACCCCCGCAGTACTTGCCCGGGGCTCCCGCCAGCGCTCTGTCTCCCCCCACCCCCGGGCGCGGACCGGTGACCGCTGCGCCACCGCG